GATTAAGTCACTCACCAATGCAGTGGTTTCACACCTAGCTGAAACAAATCTTACCGTGAACGTGTGCGAGGCTTTCCGACCCTGTACAAAGTTCGTGGGCGATTATCGAGGTAGGTTCGCTGTCGGATGTTAGCTACGGCAGAAGCGGTGGGTATTCGTCCTCACAACCCCCCGCTCTGCGCCCAAAAACAATCTGTGCAAGCGCTAAAGCTTCCCTGGCCCACCCCCCATACAAACCGTTTCGTGAGTAATCTGGATGGCCGGATGAGTGGACAAACAAGCATGATCGTGGTGAACCCGATTTCCGGTCTCACGATAAAATCGGTTTTAGTAATCTGTTTTTACTTTATTTTATTTTTCCCATGGCAATTTTATTCCCAATTATTGATATATATTGAGATGTATTGGCATGAATACGAATCTCTGGAAACGAGTTTGTTCGCCATTGTTGTTTTGTTCGAAATGTGCTCTGTGGGATTATTTCAACAAAAAACACTAGATTGTACAATTCTTAGCCAGAAGAGACATGCCCTAAACGAGAGCAGTGCCCGACTGTGCGTTGATCCCCCCGCACATGATCATACGAGCTAACCAGAACCGGACAATACGCAAACTGGTGCTCTGGTGTTGACTTAACCAGCAGCCTTAAAAACAAGCTTACTTTTCTGTTTTCTTATGTTCTACTCGAAAATTCACTGTGCTTTTTTGATGTGCACTTATTATTTTATTTTGTCCAAGTATGGGACCACCGCTGATCCTAAGAGAAGTCCTCAAATGTCGATGAATTAAACATGTGCGAACAGGTGGTTACTTCTAGATCGTCATATACATGCGGGCTTTTGACCGGTTTAACCTCCTCTGATCGCCCAATTTCATACTGACAAGGTAGCATGTCAAGTAGGATGAAATCTGAGTGATCCTTCATGTTTAAGGGTCAGACAAGAACACTGGATCGATGGATTTGCACTACTGGTGAGACCCAACCAGGTCGAAACAGCTGTCCAATACTTCCTGGCTTTTCAGTTCACGCTTCATTTGCCATATACACGACGAATTCCCATTTCAAACACTGGCTTTATTTAAATAGTCAAGGGCGAACAGATCGCTCTAACGAGCATTTCTTGGTTCGCCAAAAACAATGTATATTTTACACCCTAAGGGTGCAAAACGCACGCTGAACTTGGCTACACTGGCACTCGAGCAGCCCAGAAAAGAGTGCAACTTCCATAAATGTTCATTTATTGATACCACATCATCTCCATACACTAGATACCATACCAACGTGCCATTTGGACGCATATCGATTCCAACATTGATGCATGAAGATGGCTGCTCTCGAAACCAGATTCATCAAAAAGTTTAATCGAAAAGGAGGGAGGGCAAGCCTAACGAACATCGCTTTCTGTGGTGAACTCAGGCGTAAAAGATCCGTGAGCTTGAACTCACCTTAGGTTATCAGAGGAAAGTGATCGTAAAATTGAAATCAATTCCTCAAACGCATCCTTCGAGGATAGGCAGTGTAGTCAACTGAATCGCGGTTGCTCTCATATAGAAGAAGATAGAAATGGTAGGTGTACAAAAGGAGCGCTCATGTTCCCGAATTTGGCGACCAGTGAAAATATCGTCAATACAATCTTGACCAGGTCTAAAATAAACCCGGTTCTAACGCAAGCATCACAGAATCGCGACATGCAATGCTGGTGGTTTGCTGCCGTTTCCTTCAATGTCCCCAGCCAACCGGAACTGAAGACCTTACGTATCTTAATATGACCTATCCCCCCAGTAACCAATATTTCAGACTGGTATGAACTAGCGGTAGTTTTCCAGTTGAAGTAAATGGTAAATTCAATGTTGATGGAAGCCAATTGAACCCTGCCTTGAATCGTCCTACGTACGGTTCAAAAGGGAGTTGTTGAATGTGAACCAGTACGATGCCGAAATACTTAATTACCTCACGTAAGCCTCCGTGATCCAGCACTCCGTACTGGACGGCAAATTCTGCGACTGTCACCAAAAGCAATAGCCCTACACTTTACCACCAGCTACTTCTCATAATCATTCCCCAGAATCTTAATGTCGTCCAAAAGATTTTCGCGTGCAATTCTCATCCAGCATTAGGAGGAATAGTATAGCAAAGCAGCAGAGGTTTGGAAAACCTATCGTTTGGAGTCGGATCGTGTGCCAAAGTGCGTCGCTGTTGGAATAACTTCTTTGATTAGCATTTAGTGGTCATTGATTGCCTTCGTCGGTGATCAAGCTGAAAGCTCGCTTCGAAGACCACTTTGCAGTTGTCAACAACTAGGTCCGGAGGCTCTAACATAATTGCTATTCAGGAGTAGGCAGAATCTGACTCCTATCACTGTATGATCAATGAGAGCGATAGTGGTAGCTGATGGCAAATACGACTGAGTTGAGCTCATTGGCGCGAAGCTGTAGCTTTACATATGAGATAGTGTCGTTTATTGTGGGAGAAGTAAGTGCTCGGTAGGTGAAACCAGTTTTTTGCGTAAAGTTGAAGTAAACAATTTCCGTCATTCGTTTAGTAGATTGTAGGCGGGGTCTAGGCACCTTACCAATTTTTCCAAAGATACTATTTATGTCGTAGACATCAGCCATAGCTACGTTTCCGTTGAGTATGCACATTGCAGTAATCGCGATATATCATTTTCGAAGTTATCAATGAGTCCAAGCGCACCGCACCGCACACAATGAGTAACACGTGAACTCTTCGTTCTGTAGCTGCGACTCGTACTGAACCATCGAGAACCGAAGTGCCCAATTGACTACTGACTAGAATCCAGTCATGAATGAGCTCCCGTACTTCACATTTCGCGCAATTCCGACATCGGTGACTGTCGGAAGAAAAATTACCTGGCCCACGGAGAGAAGCTTGAGTTCGAGATTAGATTCGAAGAAGAATCCAGGGTGATAACTGAAGAAGGTTCCTGTATGCGTGTTCCGGAGACACTGTATATGTCTAAATTGAAAGTTTCGAGGGTTCTAGTTTAGGTAGTTTGTTGGTGGATCGGATAGTGTGCGGACATCGAATGCAGGAAAACGGAAGGAAGATTTTTGGTGTCGATAATTTAATAGATTCTGAATGGCTTGTCTTACTACTCGGACTAATTAATATTCCCTGAAGTGAAAATAGGAAGTAGTTCGTATGATTTGAGAGTGCACGGAAGAACTAGACAAATAAGAGGATTCTCCGCATGGGTGCAGGAAAACTTTAGGGTAAGAAATCCTACTCGGTTTGGTCTTGAAAACCCCGACTGGAGACTTCGACTCAAACGCGAGCGTAGATCTAAATCCGGGACGTGACTGAAGTAGCCGTCTGACAGCCAGCACAGACCTGTCACAAAAGACCTTCTGGATTCGCTTCAGTGTTTTCTATTCCGTTGAGGATTGCTTAAGGCATCGAATGAGACATGTGGAAAGGGAGAGGGATGGCACCTTGTTGGCGAGGGGCTGCTCAGTTAGGGCAGGTGGCAACTATTCCGAGAAGTACGAAGGGATCTCAGTGTCGGGAGGAGGCCCTCAATGCACCTCCCGATGTTCATCTCGCGGGATTTTTACCAGTAAACTGCTCTTCTCTGGGTTTATTAACTTGGGTGATGATAAAAAGAGTCGATTGCTCAATCAGCTGACCTCCGTGCGTTGACCTCTCAGACATTGGATCTGAGGCTCAGAAAAGCCACGCACACTGACAATATGACTAGTGAAGTCGCAATGGTCTTAAAAATTTTCTCGTTTTGAACATAAGTGGTACAGAAGTGGTTCGATTCGATGACGAATTTCTAGTATGTGAAAGCAACAGAAAGGTAATTGTTTGTGCACATTGCGTCATTCTTCATTATGGAAACGAAAGCAAATTTAGTGACAATATGCATGACCTGAACAATGCAATGTCATACAGTGTGATTGAAAGAACTTGCAAAATGCACCATAAGTTGGTAGGAGTATATTATTCTCATGTGAGAGAAACATCATAAGACCGAAATGCACTCGGATCCAAAAAGATACCTGAATGGTTGGAAAAGTTAGAAAAACAGGATACTCACAACCAAATGAGTAAAAATGGAGTAGATAAAAGTTTCACAGAGGCTTTGAAAGTCTGAGTAAATGCATCAGAAAGTGAAATGCGCACGAGAGCATCAAACGAACATAATACGACTGTCTGAAACGATTTTTCATGTCAGATGAGCAGCCGCATCACAAGGAATTTGTTTAGGAGGAAAAATTACTTTCTTCGTTAAAGTACTAACAAATGAGGGCATTTGTTTCTTCCCCGAAAAAGCCGGACTGGCAGCCAACGACTCGTATTCGTAAGCTACCGAATGGTTAACACGAGTCATTATACTCAGCAAATCCGAGATGGAGCCGTAGCGAAGCAAGACTTCAGAAAGTGCCCGGATGAACCATGAGCCGTAAACGGAATTACGAAATGCGTAATAACCTTGATCGGTAAGAAACGAATGTGACCAGATGAAATCTACAGCGAAATGCCAATGTCTGTCGACATGAAATTTGTAGGACTGAATGACAGAACAGATCAAAGAGACAATGATTATAAACACTATTACGGAGGTGTTCATGATGGATACAATTCGATCAGACCTATCAAAAAGACCGCAAAATCGATCGAATGATATACAGGAGGCCATCGTTAACCAGCGACTGTATCCAGTTATTGAATTTTCGCCTTCGGTCTATCGGTCCTTTCGCCCTAGAGTCACTTACAGGTGGAATGCCCTCACAGCCCAACATTTTGGTTTGGTACAATCTTCGACGTTTCTAACAAATAGCCAGTAAACTGAGTTTTATGTAACTTTCAACCGACACAATAGGTCTTTGGACCATATGATTTAATCATTCAATTGTAACTTATGTTCACTGTATGATTCAAAAACCGATTGGGCAAGAACAATACCATACTATATCGGAGAGTGAGTGGTCCGGCAGAATAATGTGTTCGCCTGTCATCTCACAGCTCATGAGTTCAAGCTCCGCAATGGGCAAAAAACTTACAAAATGCGTATAGTTATCTCCCCACCTAGATTTTGAGTGACATTTCTGTTAAGGAATCTAAGATTGTTGTTCTGTACAATATCCAAAATCAATCGATGGACATCCCACTTCGTGTCAGAAATACGACTTTATGGTAACTCTGGTTTTGTCTATAACCATTTTCCAATTCACATTTGATTACTTTCTAATCTACAGCGAAACTCTATATAAAAAAAAATTTGTCAGCACTGGACACTAACAGCACGGAAGCTATCGGGATTAGACTTATACCTGTGGTTAGCGCAGTCACCACAAGGACCCTTCTTTAACACGAGAACAAAAATCGACTACTCTCACGCTGCTTCGGTGAACATCGCTCGCCGTGGTAACCTATCTGGTGACATGCATAACACATGTTCCAACCAACGTATTCTATGGAGGTCGACCACTTGCTCTAGTGGATACCCAAAACTCTGCCCCTAGCCTCAGCATTGCTCATCCGGCTACCCCACCAGATTCGTGCAATGCTCCGTAGACAGCGGTGTTCGAATACCGACAGTCTATTTTTATCCTGTTTC